AGCCAGTTACGTTGAACCTGCAACAGTACGCCTTTAGGCTAAGATGATAATTTTTTGCCATTATAAGAAACTTAATATCTATAACGTGTAGGCGCTCTGAAGTTTAGGCTAAACTACTATAAATTATAATTAATATATTTGAACGCGTGAGTTTGATTAATTCTCTTAAGCAGTATTTCTATCTTGACAAAATCCGTTTATTTGAGGCTTGGATTCTGTTACGTTAAAGTTAATCCCCAGGGTTCTGTACTTGCTCCATCGATTGTCACTGATCCTGGGTTGATGCTGCCGACTTCTACGTAGCACTAAGCCAACGTATATGTAACCTCAGCGACCAAAGACTACTGCTTGGCTAAATTTGAGGTAACTGAATCTAGGGCCATCTAAACGTTTTCTGTAGTTCTCGAAGATTCCCTCGCAAGCAACCTATGCAGGCCTTAGCGTCCTTGCAAAGAAGTTAATGACTTGGAAGTGCAGGCTTGATCAGCTTCTATACCTAGAACACAACAGCCCGTGATCACCCTACCTGTTCTGAAGGACATACGTGAATTAGGTAACTAGAAACGGCATAGCCTTATTGAGGATCGCCAACGGTGGTACACCAATACGGGCGTTTTGGCCTGTGAAAGGTCGACGTGTTGAGGAAGTCACGTCAGCACGTGTCCTAGAACGGTTTGGTGAACGTGTTATTCCGTGTCGTGGAGGTGAGTACCAAGTTTATAATACGTTTTCGGTCGTCGCTGTGATGGGGCCAGAGGTTAAATTTCCGCGTTTGAACGTCTGTAAAAACTTTTCAGAGAGAAATTGCACCTGAATGAAAAACAATGGATTCGGTCGCAGGTTTATTTCGATTACTCTCTTGTGGTATTAATGATGTGCTCTTTTGAGAACTACTGCCTTTGTTCCGGCCCAAAAGCCCCATCATATTCTTTAGCGGGAATGTTTATTTTCCACGTATGATTCATTTTGTATGACGAATTCGACGGTCCAATATGTAACAGGGATTTCCCTTAAGAGTTAGACAGGCGCTGGCCTCTACGGTTCCTTCAGCTTCATAAAATTCAGACAAAATATACTTTTGTATTATACTCAATATTGGGTCTTCATGAAGACACTAAATCTTCCACAATTATCGAGCAATAAGCACTGTCCCCATCAAAGTCACCAATCGTATGTGTTTAATTAAAAGGGATATCCTTTTTTATCTAATTTCCAAATGAAGACATTGAAGTGTTCTGTTTTACCCATCGAATACGCCTTATATTTCGTCTGCAATGTCGCAAAAATTCAATGGGCAAGCTTTTTGCTATATGTCGCTTGCAGACTGTACCCTATCGTTGTAATTATTACCATCCAGTTACTCCTATGCTAACTGAATCGGGTTAAAAACATGTTGGTCATTGAAATAACATTTCCGTCTTATAGTACCTCTACGAGGTGATAATGACGATATATACGAGTAACAATGGCTTACAGAAATTTCATTTTTTTATTGATATGTTACCATGTCCATTAACCAAATCAATTTAGGATGGGTTATGCGGTTAAATTTACAAATACTGTCATGTATAGTTAGTTCATACAAATGGACGTAATTTGCAAGTATTTTATTAATTTGTATCACTCATTATAATAAATTTTGACGTTCAATGTAAAAACAGGATTGCTGAAAACATTGTTTTATAGCAAGTCATGCCTCTATATTGAGAGTGAACGCCTGCGACGGGTATCATGTTAGTGTTTGACGCTAGGCACACATAGAAAGGTCATGTTGCTTGGGAACTATAAACAGAGAGGTTAGTTAAACGTATCAAAGTTTATCTTTGGTTACCGTAAAAATTGATATTCATTTACGTTTATTGTTATTGTTACGCTCGAATCGGAGTTTTCATCTGAGCTTGGAAGCTTTTTGGCCCTATTTTCTTTTCCGTCATTCTTAGTCACTATATGAGCAAACTTAGAAGTTTCACATACTGTTGCCTAGCAAATCTTGGCGTACAACGCGCAACTGCAGCACTGTCTTCTGCGATAAAGCTTGCGATTGACAGCTCGCATTTTACTGCAATTGACAGAAGAGAAGTTTTATCCGCAATGGCTTACTTTAAATTTCTCATCGAGAGTTTTGTTTGTTCAAGTCTGCGCGTGAACAAAAACACAGATTGGTTATTAGCGTTATATAAACGAGCGCATCATTCATTTCTCTGCCTGCTTCATATGCACATAAAATTGTTATTTAGAGCCTGACATCGTTGGTGCCTTTACTACGTGCTACACCATAGGGGAAAGTAATATACTGAAAATGTATTTTACCTGTTAGCATGAAACTTATTCGGTGAAAATTATCCGACCCAGCCCCACTCAACTTTGCCGCCGTAAACAGAGGAACGTCATTTAGGTCTAGCGATGCTTGAATTCGACTTTAATGTGAGTGGAGGGCTAGTTCTACGAGATAAGCTCCTGCCCATAATCTCAAGTCTAGTAAATGTTTGTTCCTACGGAACAGAATGAACTTTCCAACGTTTTTAATAGGCTTTGCCGTTGACTTTTGCTCTATTGAAGATTTCAAATGCTTCGGACCGTCAACGCAAATAACTGCATACAGACTGATCCGACCTACGCGTATTTAGAATAGAATAGAGCTCTCTCTTCTCTCACTGATGTTACAGTTGAAGGTAGAGAAAATCATAGTTATAACTTCAGTTTTTTTCGAATGAAACGGATGCTGGATCTTGGTACAAGCTAAAACAATGCCGGTTCCCGTGTCAAAGCCACTCGCAGTTAAGAGTGCGAATGAAGCTAGTGCGAAATCTCTCTGACACCTAAGCTAGGTGCGTGAACAGAAAGAGCTTCGGTCGAACTGAAGATCATGGCCTTCGGGAGTTCAGCCACATCTACACTGGCCGCTACAGGATCAGAAGGCTTATAATCTAATATGAATAATATAATATTCTAATAAATATATAATAATAATAATAAAGATGATGATAATTTGTGAGATAGACGATAAGGTAATTAAGTAGTGTATGCATAGAATTCCGACTTCCATTCCTTTTTGTGTTGTTTTATTAAAATGGCAAGCCCAATTCATGATAACATAAAAATTATACCTAAACAACCACCAGATATTTAAAATGCAACATGTCCACATGTGTGATATCTCTAGCGAGTCTGGTTAAACTAGTTCCTATATCTTATCTTTCTCGAGCTGGGCCGTTGCTATTCAATTAATTATAAAAATGATTTTGAAGTGCGGCTCTTTGTACGACTAGCAACCCGGTAATAGGGATAACGTCTGCCATTACAAAAAGCACTTCGCCGGCACTTATCTTGAATAAACACTAGACGTTTGGTAAATAATTCGTTTGAACCTTGATGGATTGAAGCTCCCAATCTGTTCATCGTTAGACACAAATAATAAAAAATACGATGATACATTGCTTCTAACCGAACTGCTCAATGCTACAGATGTACCAGACGCAAAAGGTCTAATCAAACAAAACTACAAGGGATCAAGGTCGATTTTAGCAGGAGAAGTTTATGGGCGTTGCAGGAGAAACAACAATACCTGTGCCACAGACTCGGGAAAGCATCGATTTTGAATGCAGTTTAATTTCCGGAATATCATATTTTAGCTACGCTGCTCCTTTACCAGCTCATATTAGCCTTCCCATACATCCAAGTCAAGTGCAAAAGAATCTTTAATAGCCCTTCTCGCGTAGTTTGATAAGCTGGCATTATGGGACCAAAAGTAACAGGATAAAGGACATTGTGAGAAGCACCGTCGGCAGCAGTAACAGAAAACACCTTTTGCATTTTTCCTTCTTCGAAAACGAACGAGGGAGGCGTCATTGAACCGATTCCTTGTTAATTCATTGGTTCGGACATGTCGGCTGGCATGTCGACGGCCACTACCGTCGACCGACCTGTCCGAGGCCCATGCGTTTATTTAACGTTGCGTATGTCGCTATAAAATCTAAAGAGGGGCAGAAACGATAAAAATAAAGACGAAGAGCCAGGAATTTACGCTCGAAAAAACCTAGGTTTCTTTCTCTACTACTACGATACTCTGGGTTCGATGAGCGTTTGTACCCTACCTCTATCGCGCTATGGCATCGCCGAGGAAGGAATTGGCTCATGTAATAGCAAAACCGCGCAGTTGCCCAATCTGTTTGCTAATGATCTTCATCTTGTTCGCCTTCCCGCGTACAGGCAAGGTGTACAGAAAGTATGCGTTTACTTGGCTCTTTCTTAGCTTGCCTGGGAAGCTAGCGTAAGAATCTGCTCTCTAAACTAGATTAAGACCTCAGCGTTTCTCAGTTACTACGACTATTACATATAGTCGCGGGTGAGGAGGCACGCCGATACTGGTTTATTAGCTGAACAGAAACAAACACTATGTATGCTTTTCTATTTATAGGCACACGTTTGTGTAGTCTTTCTCTGTCCACGATGGCGTTGTATCGGGACAGGATCTCGTACATTGTTTCGTTGTTGCCTTTATGAGAGAAGAAGTCGATTTGTCGTCTTAATGTACATATGTCTGCAAGATCCAATCCCTAACTGCCGCTCCAGCTAATGCTACTGTCATCGTCCCTATACGCCGTAATTCTAATGTGATTGTATCCAGCTGCAGTAGCTAGCAAGCGAACGAAAAGCTTAAACAAAATATGCCCGAACGAGTAAGAAGCGAACTTTGCTTGCTGTCTAACTGGCAGCGCAGCGGTGGTGACTGCCGCCACTGTGGTGGCAGCCCGCTCACTTCTGCTTCTGCTCAAGGGAAAAACGAAGCCAGCACACAGAAGTAGCGATAGCGTCATCTGCAGCAACAAGCGAAGAAGAGAGGATAGCAGAAGGGGAGAGCCGACGTCGTTTCTGCTAACGCCGCTCGCGCAAGAGACTCAGCATCGTTAGAAGCCGTAGCAGCGGCAGCAACAACGACTGTATCGGCGCCACGCCGTCGACTGAACCAGTGGCGGCAGCATCGGCGGTAACAACGGACATCGTGTGCTGAGCTGTTGGCTGAACCTCAGGACCGAGCTGGCCAATCGTGTTGGTTCTGCCCTACGGGCTTCTTATATGTCCTAGAACTGTCGCTGGCAGAAGTAGCATAAGCAAGCAACAGATGAAAAGACCTAAGCACTGCACGAAAACAGCCTCCAGACGCTGTACTAACCGGTTCGAGAAAGCTGCGAGCTACGCAAGCCATGTGCTGATCCGGGTTCATTCGCAGTGCTGTCGGCGCATGATAAAGGTGCACGAGACCCACAAAGATAAAACAAAGCTAGATATCCCAAATAAGTGAAAGAAAGTTACTAAGTGTTGGATAGGGGAATATAGGATTTCCCTCGGAACAACACTTAATTAATGTTGAATCGTGCAATTGCTATAGTACACAGTAGGACTTAATCTAGATCACACGACGGTTAATGGGAACACAGCTGATGTGATTTTTAGCAGCGATCTTTCGGTAGACAATATTCCACGTTTATACTGTGCTAATGCAAAACATGGATTACTGTTTGTCAGCCAGATGCCCAGTGGATTAGTGAAGTGCGCCAGTGAGATACGCATTATGCGTTCGGCCATACTTTCTTGAAAGCGTCTGTGTATTTATGTGACACTGGATACTATGAGCTGAAGTCAATAGACCAAATGGAACCGTACGATGCTACTAGACTGGGCTTGAGGCGACAACCCAAGCCAGGAAGATAAAGCAAACAGGCGAACGAGTAAGAGGCTTTTCAGAGATTCACCATCGTATCGCTTCACGGAGGAATAACATTAAGTAATACGCAGCTAAGTTCCGCGGCTTAACTTAAGTGTTCTCTGATTCTATGAACAACTGTTTGACAAACATGTCCATAGTTTAAAATTTTTTTTGTGTTTGCAAGTAATGAGTATTTGCAAATCTCTAATGCCGACAGTCAAGCACAACATTCTAACAGTCAGTCGACGCCGAGATACTTACTTCAGCGGTCTTAACTTATTTTGAATACGATCGATATCTGTTCACTTCTCAACGGTTAATTCAACACGATACCCAGTATAATTCGATTGGACAAGAAGAATCACGCTGCTTCTTTCAGCCGCGAAGTCCTTCCATCTTCGATCTAGCGTTTGAGCACCCAACGTGTTCTGTTTCAGTCTACAAAGAAGAAACAACAGTAGCACCATCAACGATCCCGAGCGGGTTCCTGCCTGTTTTAACAACGGACCAATAGATCTACCATTAGTTTCTTCGAAAATCATCGAAGTAGACGACGACGACCGCTACGGGACACACGGAAACACAACTTCAGTTGCTTCTGTTGTTGCTCAGTTTCGTTGTCAGTTCGGTGCTCGCTTTCGCTAGTTTTTTCGACATTCTTGAGCAGTGGTTAACGCATGCATCCACAAAGTAAGCCCCACAAGCTAAACGAGGCCGATAGTCGGGCAAACAAAGAGGCAACGTATATTACGGATAACTATTGAAGTGTATGTAGTAGGAGCAATGAAATCATTATTTGTACGGAACGTGGCGGTAACGGATCGCACAGCCGATTCAGCAATAATCAATCGCTGCTTAAAAGGCGTGATCTCTGAATACCTTAGGCATAAGAACGGCACGTCGCAATGCAGGATTGGATGAGTTAGGATTGAGAAAACTAAAACCAACCAGAATTCAGCTTCCAGACAAAAGTCAATTTTAAGCAGTCTACTGATTACTGCCAGTAGAGACTGCCTAGCGTTTCTTTGCGCCAGGGTTTCCCATCCATCGCACCACGTTACACAGACATTGTCTATAATTGTTCGTTACGACCGTAGTGTCACATCGCTGATCGTCATCACTGTTTCCTCTAGTAGACGGAGTGGTCTGTTGCATGCCCACTGGCCTGGTTGCCCCTCTTACTAGCCACTACCGCCGCCGCCGCCGCCGCCGCCTCGACTCAAGCTAGCACTGCCTCTCGGAGGAAGGGTCACCAGCTACAGATAGGGAGGGCCGGCGCTGAGCATGCTTAGTGATCAACCTTCTCCACAGCAGTACCCACCCGGCAACAGCTAGAGACTACCAACCATAGAAATACGCATTGCGCTTCGTATAGGATGCCACAGTATGATGACGAAGTGATGGCCTGACTGCCTACTGGTTTGTTGCTTAGTTTACTGAAGCTCATTCGGTGGAGAGTCGAATCATCAAACATCATCGTGATCATCATCATCATTGCTGCTTGCATACAAACTATAACCACGAATGGCAGAATCCACACTCTCGCTGGTAGGGCGCCACCATCATTGAGCTGTGTGTATGGATGTCTATTGAGAGCAAATCGTATGAAGGGACCTACTGAGAGCACGACTGACGCCTGCTCAACGCGAATACCGAAAGCCGTCATCACGGCGATATTAGTAAGCAGCCTGCGTCACTATTCAATCAGTGGCCCAAAATATATGAGAGTGGTCGAGACCAGCGTATTTCTACCTAAGATAACGCCTGTCATCGTACCGTGACCCTAGTTCTTACCAAGATCTTTCTGTCTTATCTGCCTGTCTCTTCCTATTGCAATATACTCGTACGCTGTGTGGCGTTCCGCCGCGCGCAGTCCGCGAGTTCGGTGCAACGAGTGGCGGGTGGGAGACAAATTTCGCGCCGGACCAACTAAATTTACATTCAGTAATGATAGAAATGTGACTAGCCGCATCTGAACCGAGAGTCACGTGCCTCGAAGCGCCTGTGTCGTTGAGAAGTGTGCTGCGCCACACCGAAGGGCAGTAACAAAAAGTAGTGACAACAAGCACCATCAGGACTGATGAAAAGTGGCTATCGCCTTGTTCAGGGAGTCGCTTGAAGCAGAGCCGTTGAAATAAGCAGACGCTACTGATCGGTCGATTTATCTGTACAGACGCATTGTTTGGATCCGTCTGTTAACAGTTCCTCTATCCGACCGTCGCCGTCTTCGCCTCATTGATTAGATCAACAGGATCGCTGGCACTGGCCAGTTAGAGAACGTCGAAACGGCTAACTCTGACTAGAGCGACTTCTGACAACTTGTGCCGCCACCGTAGCAGAAAAAAATGTATACGCTTAACGTGAATTCGGATGATTATCGTAGGCTCGGAATATAATTTATTAGTTGATGATCGAGTACAGTTATAATTGCCCGTCATCACCACTGGAAAGGACTTTGGTGTATTTGCATAAGAAACGTACTGAATTGGAGATAAAAAAAAAAAGAAGTTGCGTGCTATTGTTGCTATTAAGGGGAAGTGGCAACCGTAAGGATATTTGAGAGTGGATAGTTATCGGTATAAAGGTACACTTTAAATACAAGTGCTGAAAAATAACTATCTGGTGTGTTTCTTTGCGACCATTCGACTCGAACAGAATATTTGATAAGAACGCAAATGTCGGACAACAACTGTAATCATGTTCTGAATGAGGTAGTTTGAATGAAGCTTGATTTTCGACTGCCTAAGAAGTTAAACCAGGCTGATCAACCTGTCAGATACTGATAATTGCGATTTCTACGTCCTTAATTCGCCTTAAGGACGCCTTGACTTTAAATAAGCGTACGGGTGCCAGCTATTTGACCAACGTCGTTACCATTAGCAAAAGGAATCACAGTTCTTTAGGAATCACTATCTAACCGATCGCAACGTCTCGGCACTCACAGACGGCATTGCTAAACTCCGCTGTTACGGAGCCTGCAAGAACGGAAGTAACAACAATTCGCGAGTCGTTTGTCATCCGCTCGCTGCCGAAAGTTACGCTAAGCTTTTGTTGCCGTGGTTGTTATCAGCCGCGCGAACCTCGTCGACGCTCAAATTTCTGCTTGGGTCTAGACACAGCCTAAAAGCAATAGCTGTTGTAATACGAGGGAGAGACGTTAAAGAGGAGTGGCGCCAGTCACGGGCATACAATCTAGTTGTTGTTATTCTGCGCCATACACGTGTCGGTCGCTGCTCGCAGATGCTGCTTACGACGAACGAAGACGTTTTGCCGCAGCTGCCCCTGCTGCCGTCGTCGGGCCTTGGACACTGCATGCTGACATCCTTGCCAAAGCTGAGCACACTCAGCTCGTTGCATTCGCTAGGTACGTTCGGCATGCTGAGTGTGATCTTTGGACGTGGCGGCCGAAGCAAGTCGGTAGCGATCAGCGAGGCTGACCCTACCTATAAGTGCGTGTATCTCGGTAATGTAATCACGCCTTGGGCGAAGAATATTGACGCGGCTGCCGCCACGCTCTGGAACAATCATGTCCGGCGCCAGCATACGCAGGGTAGCAATGTGACACAAATGAAAGTCAGCCTTACCCGGCAGGGTGTCAAGGCATGGACCTCTCAGCATGGACTCACCGAATATTGGGCGTCGAGGATCACCCACTGCTCGGCCGCACCTCAAGACAACTACCCGCACATGTTCTGCTGGGTCTATCGTCACGAGAGTGGACAGCGGGCGTTCAAGCAAGAGCTCCGGTGTCATGCAGTTTTGTGTTCGAAGGCTGGCCAGATGGAGACGCAGCTCCGGCAACGTTTGCATGACGCGCTTCAGGAGTTCCGGCGTGAAAAGATGGCCGCTCAGCGTGCTCGCCTCTCGACCGGCCAGGCGAACGTACGACGTCAAATGTTGTCGACAGGTTCGTCGAACTATCGCCGTCCTCGTATCCTCAAATTGGACTCGATCGAAGAGGCGTTCGAAGAACCGATGATTGAATGCTGTACCGATATCAGTCAACTGCACTCGTTAACGTTAACGAGCTCGAGTAGCACGAATGGCGGAGGAACCCTTGTACTCGACGATCTAGACGATATCCAAGAGCGTGATGACGATCTTCAGCAGTTACAGCAAGCTGATAATGTTTCCCAGGAAAGTGGGTACGCATCAGTAAGCATGTGATAGCACTATTTCCTTCTACAGAACCTACGGATAAAAAACTAAATCGAAATCAACAATTGTAAATTACAGGAAAAAAAAATTAAAAGGAGAAGTAATCTTCAGCAGTAGTGTACAGAGATACCGGCAGTAGGCACATCCACGTGTGCGCTTATGGCACACGTGTACACGATTGTGCAGAATTATTCCACAATGATTGTACATTCTAAGTCGTTTCAAATACGTCGTCACCCCGGCGAGTAACTGGTCGAATAAAGTAATGCCAATGAGAAAATGCAGATAGTCGAGAAAGCCCATGTAGTAAAAATGTTATAGTACGTACCTGTTGAATACGATACTCTAATTAGTTGTGCCGACATGTTAAACATACGAACAAAGAACCGGTAAGAAACACTGACACATTTTAAAGCAGAGCAACATGGCTCTTTTTTAAACAGGGCTATAACTGCCACCCGAGGAGAAGAGGCCGTCCTTGAAAAAACAGGACAGCTGGTTTTACACACATCGAACTCACAGACGAACAGTGTTTTCGGAAAAGCTGGCATCTACTTCTTTTTCTTTGTGTTGTTTGCAAAGGAAGTGAGGTAGGCGCAGCGCTGGGTAGACTGTCAATTATCGACGAGATGTATATGGTCCTACTTTATTGCATACTAACACTAATGTAAGCGATCCAGATATGCTGTTGGAACATATAATAGGGCGACTATTGTCAGGTACGAATTGAAGATGTACAGGCGAAACGTAAGAGAACCATCCAGTTACGCAGAGCCGTCTGTCGCGCCAGATCTCACATATATATATATATATATATATATATATATATATATATATATATTTAGTAAAATGTATCATTAATGTAATATTAATAATGTCTGCATGAATAGATTGTAAGCGATCTAGGCATAGTCAACAACGGTGGGCACAATGGTAAATAGAGCTCTTAGAAGACGCATGCCTTCCTATCAACTGAACGACCATGTTATATCTATCTGCAACGGCCAATAAGAATTTAGAAATACCTGGCAGCCTGGCGCGAAATTATTAAGCGCAACAGTTTGACATTTTTGCAATCTTCTCGAAGAAAAATGGTTAGATCTTGTGACCGTGTTCATCTGCTGCTGTTTTCGCGACTGTTCATCATAAATCAGGAGCTATCTAACTGTATATATTGCGCTTGGCGACAAAGGGAACCACGAAAATAGGACTTACGTGAGAGAAATGATTCTTAGCGATCTGACGTGAACGGATGTCAGCTCGACGTTGACGAATTTCACAGATTTTGTGCAGTATAAACATTGTACAATAGAATTTTGTTAAAATGATAATAACAACAACAATAATAATGGAAGGTCATGAAAAAGAGAAATCATAAAATCCTATGTATTTATTTCTTTTACGCGTTCTTCAACACTATCCAGTTAGTGATTCTAACTGGTACCCGACGTTCCATTACGTTTCGCGCCGTGAACATATGTAATAGACAATTAACTATCTAGCTAGCTAGCTAGTTACCGAAGAAACGCCATCACATAGCTACGCTCGTCATTAGATAAATAAACAGGTACGTGGATAGTATTGTCAGGGAATGCTTATGCAATGGTGGTCATTGCGTCCATTCTCGTGTACACAGACCCCCCAGTATCAAGCATCGTCACTTTCGTTCAAATCATGATGGACACTTCTAATCAAGCGACAACGAAACGGCAAGCACGAGGTGACAACGTAAAAAATTTGCGCACAAGTCGAGAAATCGACAAACAGATTCCTTAACTATAACCCAGTATTCACCGCCTCGTCGGCTGGGGAAAAGGACGAATATATATATATATATAGAAAAGGACGCTGCCGCCAATGACAAACGGCCATCATGGGTCACCTGTAAGAATATCGATACCGTAACACTGAAAGGGTCGAAATTGGAAGAACGCTAATGCAATGCCATAAAGGGTTTGTTACCCTACGATTCTAACTACTATCGAAAAAAGCCAGGCAGAACGCCTGCTGGGCGACCGCGTGTGGTCCTTATAGAATCGATTGACCCATTGTTAGTCACTGGCTCCTATTTGTGCCGCAAAGATGCCAGCGGTAGCGAAATCAGCGGTCGAAATCGGTTATAGGTTGGTAAGCCGTTAGACTATGTGACAGCGTTTGAATGTACTGGTTAAGTAACTAACTTATATAGGTTGACGCGGTAGACAATCAAATACGACTGAAGCAATTACCATTTCCTAATGATACATCAAAGGTATGCTGCTTCGGGATTTCGAATCTGTCGTATAGTTTTTTTTTTGGACATGTTGTTGCACGATTGTTACGTCCTCGAACGAATAAGACTGGTACATTTTTTCGTGTTTTGCATCGGGCGTTCAGGCTGCTAGGCATCACTTTAGACGGGTGACCCCTTTTAGGACGAAATGAAGTATGTCTTCGCCGAGCTCCAAACCCATACTACTACTACTATGCGTTTGTAAGTTTAGCAAATTCGTTATCCGCTGCGCTATCAAGCGAACCTAATGACGAAGAAACAACCGGAACAGGTTTTTGTCAAGCGGATAGAGCACAGGAAAACGGCTTCTGTATATCTCCCTTCTATGCTTTTGTGAGCTTTCCTTTCAGTACTACGTAGCGAAGCTGGGGGTTTTACCAAACGAGTGAAAATTGCTGACATAGATGACTGCTGGTACTGCTGCCGTCCGTAAGGAGCTAATAATCGCTCTTAGTAATTTATTTATTCGCCGTATACTTAATTTAGTTGAAGCTCCTGTTTTTTTTTCTGAAACGACAAGCCAACTGCCGTAATCTAGTTTTCCAGTAGATTTCTCCACAATCGACAGTCGGCCAAAAGTCACGATATCGTGATGTACCTAATTTAGTCGCTTATATTATAAACGGGTGCGTACCAGATTTGGTCATCTCATTTTCTCAGCCATATTTTCTAGCTATATGAAGCCATCTGTGTGATACAGAGACTACTATAGTTATCAAGCGATAGAGCACTCGCAATAGCAGGCCAGAACAAAACCCACTGTAGCAAAACCATCCATAATTTGATCAACGTTATATAGTTCAGTACGAGATAGACTAACAGCTTGGGTTATGTTGTTGTTTCTATTGATATTTTGGTTCTTGTTGTAATTGAGTGAATCTTTTCGTTGTGTCAGTGGTTCTCTGGCTTGTTGGCCAGTAGCGACTGCGTCCATTGGCGCCGTTGCCGTCGCCGTCGCCGTCGCCGCTATCGTCGTCCACGGATATCCAGCAGCTTCCTTGTGGCTCACTAACCGACTTCAGGTTCTGTTATGTTTTTTTTTCTGTACACTGATCAGTGGGCCGGCCGCCGTGGCTGCTATTGCCGCCAGAGAAATGATGATGATCGGTTTGTTGTTAACTTGTTTGTTGCTACAATTAAGCCGGCTGTTTCCTCGCTACGCAGTCGGCTCTACAGATACCTAATCAGCATCGTTCGGCTTATAGGCCGAACTGCATTTGCCTCTGGCCGCATTCGCCGTCGATGTAGCTGTCACCGGTTGGTAGAATCGGCCACAACAACAGTAGCATAACCAGTCCGTTCCGCCGACGAAGCGACGGACAGACAGTTACTTACCGTTGATTGTGGGCGTATTTCGAACGTCCTACAGCCAGTCAACAGGCCGACGGCAACCGTCGGCGTAGGCACTGGTCAGTTGTGTATTTACTGTTTCGTTTGTGTTGAGCTTGGTTCGTATCGAAAGGCCAGCGCTGAGCTTTCGGCGCGCGCGATTCAGAACAGGGTAAGGCTATGCTTGGACGATCTATAGGCCACAGATGATCAGTGGCACAACAAAAGCAATCGAATACTGCTCGAGATGAAAGCTGGTCCAAAATGCTGTCGGTCGGCCGCCTGGTGCTGAAGTGCTGATGAGATGCCATTTGCCGATCGGGCCTGACAGGTACGTAATACCGTGGATTCACCAATGACGATGCTGTGATTGACGGAGGAAAAGCGAATGAAAAAGAGTGCACGCTGACGATGCTCTTAAACAACGCTTCGTATTTACAGAGTAACAGTGTTACTAACAGTGGAACCGACCCCGCTTTCATAGATCGTCATTGACACGGTTATAGATAGACCATAGACGGTTTGTTCATGAAGATCAGCTGTGTAACACTGACAACTTTCGCCAGTAACAGAACAAAACAGACATCGGCTGGCAGCAGAGAAATGCAGAAGCATTTGGTCTTTTCGTAAAAAGGACATGTTGGTAAGGCTAATAATGATGGTGATGATGCCGCTCTTGACAAAAACTGGCCACAGAAAATTCTTCATCACGCCACTATCTGAGAGAAGCGCTGCCGCGTGGCTCGCTCAGCGGGTTGATTGTTGGCAGACAATTGTTTCTTCTACGTTAGCGATACGCATCTTACATGGGATGATTTGACGCCCAGTTGTTTCTAACATTATCATTTAGTAATATGAGTTTTTTGCACTGATATGATTTATTTACAATCTAATCTAAACGAAAGTTATTATTCTGATCATCACGAAGTTTAATATGATGAAAATCATGTAAAATCTCTATTTGCTCCTATGCGTGAGGATGCGTTAAATAAATTCGAGAGCTTTTCCCGCAGGCCATAATCCGTACTATTACGAAATACGCAAAAAGAAGCATTTCAGCATGCTCCCATTCGGTCTCTGCTCGTTTGAATCATCGTCCGCATATCATATCCGATATCGTCAGCAACATCACAATGCTCCGTTTTTAGAATACTACAAAAAAAAAATGGAACGTTCGTATCAAAAAAGTAAAACGCTAGTGGCTCAACACTGCTATACGTGGAAGTTCCAGGAGCATCAAGCGAAGACCTAGCTCAGGCTCAATCCGATGGGCCTCAAATTCGAACCCCATGCCGCGTCGCTTTTCCTACTGCGTTTTCATGGTGACGCGTCACTTTTTCTAGGTTACATATCCATCATCCACTTTTCCTGTAATTCGTTTGTAAT